GATGGCTCCTTTGCGGAAAAGACAGGTCTAGCCTTGTGCGCAAACGGTAGCCCAAAAGTCTTTCCGAAGGTTAAAGGCCGGATCGCTGAGGGGTATTTCTGTAGTTGCAAAACACTCGGGCCAGGGAAGTCATCATCTCGGCGTTTCCAATCTTCTTTAATGCGTCCTTCACAGTCCGAACAGCACGCTCAGCCAGTCCATTGCTCTGCGGATGATGTGGAGATATTCCAATGTGAACAATGTCATTGCGCTTCATGAATTGACGAAATGAGAAACCTGCGGAATGTGTTCCATTATCTGACACCACCGTACGTGGTATTTCAAATTGGGCAAGCATTGTTTTCAGGGCCTCCATTGTGCTGTGGGAATTGGCATGTGCTACTGGCACAGCCTCGATCCATTTATCATATGAATCAACTACAATCAACACCACCTTGCCACGCAGTATTCCCGCATAGTCAATATGAAGCCGCGACCACCTTTCGCTAGTCTCTGGCTAGCTTACAGGAGTTTGTGCAGGTGGCATAGACAGTGCTTGAACGCACTTGTTACAGCTGGCTCGCTCAAAGATCCTATAGTAGGCCTCTGTCACTGGGCTTTATGGCTCCAAGAATACACGTTTTCAGTGTCCTACAAGACTTCAGTGTTCTTCACAAGGACGCCGGCTGCCTGTCCCGTTATCCCGTCGACCCACCTGACACCATCGAAAGCGACTCAGATAGCGGCGTTTTGTCGCTCAGTGAAGTGGTACGCGTCACCGACGAGCAGCGCAGTGACCTATATTTGCGATCCCTTATACAACGCCACACTTCAGCACCAATGAATGGCTCCCTTCTCATGTTTGTTGTGCATTACGGTACTTTATATCGACGCAATATGAAACCACATGCTGCTGAACTGCTCTTCATTGTTCTTGATCATTTGCGTCAACTATCCGTTTGCAATTACATGATGCTCCCACCGCTGGCCACTTGGGTGTTTACCGAATTCACGATCGTGTGCGCAGGAGTTTTTTTTTTTTGTGGCCTGGCCTATACCGCTCTGTTCGGCGCTACGTCACTTCCTGCGAGCCCTGCCAACGCTGAAAAAGCCTTCTCTCTCTCCTTCTGGGTACCTTGAGCCCATAGCTATGCCCAGCGAACCATTTTTTCGTGTTGGCCTGCACCTCCTTGGTCCTTTTCCAACGTCGTCTGCGGTTAACAATTGAGTGGCCGTAGCGACTGATTATACCACACGTTATGCCATTACGCGAGCCATTCCTACCACCTGTGCGACCGCTGTCACTGACTTTTTTCACCATCAAGCCATCCTACACCATGGTGCCCCGCGTCAGCTGCTGACTGATTATAGTCGGTGTTTCCTTTCGAAAGTTGTCGATGACCTAGTACACTCTTGTGCAACGTCTCACAAGTACAGCACGGCTTACCATCCAAAAACAGACTTCCTGAGCGCTTGAACCGTAAATTCACAGTTATGTTATCCATGTACGTGTCTGAGGACCACCTGGATTCGGACTGCACGTCATCATTCGTGACGTTTGCCTATAATTCGTCCCGTCACGACATTACTGGTTATTCTCCGTTTTATCTGTTGCTTGGCCGTTACCCGCTCTTGCCTCTCGACTCACTGCTTCCTTCTGAGGGAAACTGAACCACGTTTTATGCTCATGGCGCCATTGTTCGCACGGGGACGGCACGTCGCGTTGTCCGTGATCGACTTCTGGCATCTCAGCCAAATCAAATGCGCAATTACAAAAGTAGCACTACGACGGGAGTTTCAGCCTTGGCTTCCTGGTCTTGCTCTGGCTGTCTTCGCACCGCGTTAACTTGAGTGAAAAACTCCTGCCGCACTACGTCGAGCTTTACCGAGTTCTTCGCCGAGTTACCGAAGTCACATACGAGATCACGGCGCTAATCCATCTTACCGGCTACTGAGACATTGTATGTCTCCCGCCTAAATCCTACGTCACGTTCACCGATACTTGCACCGAGACGGTGCTTTTGCTGCCCGAAGTTAATGTTACATTTGTGTTGGTGCCAGTGTCGACTTAACAATGCTTCTAGCTATAGAGGAGGTTGAAGTGTCTCAGGCTCCGAACCGATTGTGTCGCGCTTGCCTACGGCGTCTGCAACAGCAATTTCAACTCTACACGTATCAAATTTAGTGATCTTGCTGATATCTTGAATAGTCAAGTGAGGTTGTTTGTAGATGAATGTCATATGTCATGAAATCAAATGTACTCGGGATTCCGAACAACTGCAGAAAAAACCTCGACTCAGTAATAGCTTTGTGCAGTACGTGGAATATGAAGCTTAACGTGTCAAAGGGCAGCCTCGTTGGGTTTACTAAGAAAAAGCAGCCTCTCATCACAAATTATTGCATGCAAAGGATACATTCGTCCATAGTAAATGAATACAAGTATCTTGATGTTGTCATCAAGAGCCCAATATCGTGGAATGATTATGTTCGCAAGGTTGAAGCCAGTCGTGGGCTGAGCTTTCTGCGCTTAATTTGAGAACCACTTCCTCTGTTCTTCAACAAGTTCTTTACGTTTAGAATGTACGAATGATTCGAATGTACGCCTGTGTCTGACGTTCGCCAATGCTGTCTTTTGCATTAAATTAGAGCTTCAAGCAAGACGGGATATTAAACAACGTGGCATATGTAGACTTGCTTTGGGAGCACACGGGAATACCCCGAATCAGGGAGTACAGGGGGACATGTCATAGACATCGTTTGAGTACAGGGAAGCTAGCAGCAACATAGAATTTGAGGAGCGATTGATAACAATGGGAGAGGAGCGTTGGGCTAAGAAAATTTTCAGCTACTTGTACATAAAAAATGTTTTATACTAATTGTAGGCAGCGAAGTCGAAAATTCTCAAACAAGTATTTAGTCAAAAGCAGCCTACCAAGCCAAAAGGAAACATATGTTAATAAGAAGGTGAATGAAACAGAAATGGGCATGTGGAAGATTGCAATGCTTAAAAAATCATCGCTGGAGACCTACCAAACTTTCAAGCAGGAAATTGCAAAAGAAAACATCTACGATAATTATCGGGGTAGTTCTCTGCTGTTCGAGGCCAGAAAGGGTGTATTGCGTAACACTACGTGCCAAGCCAAATACGAAGGCAAAGACATGGTATGTAGTGGGTGTGAAGAGGAGGAGGAAAGGGCTGGACATTCCATAATGTTCGGTAAAGGGTCCACCCTATAGTCGAAGATAGTGGTGCAGAATTTCACAAAGGAGGGGAGTTTAGGGACAGTGAAGACAAAATATACTTTAGACGAGTAGAAATAACCAGGAGGAGGCTACTTCATTGGTGGCTACAATCAAGGCGCGAGAAAAATTTAATTCTTAGAGACATAGTGATATTACTTAACTTTATGTCTAGGTGGCGTGAACTACCGCCCGATCTAAAGGGCGCAGCTGGATACATCCATCTATTCATTCAGTTCACCGGAACTGCGCCGGTTGTCGTGGAAAGAAGCTGTCCTGTACGAGGATCATGCCTGTGGCATAACAGTACCAAGTTGCCGTTATATTTACGGTTTCATTTGCCGAAAGGCTTGGCAGAGAAGGACTCGTTCCCGCACACAACTTATAGAAGGCAATTCTTGAGGATCTTCGTGAGACACCAGGCAATTTCTTCTGAATCTTTGGGATACCGCTACATGCCGCTTGAATTTTATTCATTCATTTACTGTTTATTCAGACAAAAACAATGATTGCCTAGGTTGAAGGGACTAAAGGCAGATCACCTCTGCCTGACTAAGGTCCCTTCACCCATACATTTGCTCAGGTGAAGTGGAACAAAAGCTACAAATTTCATTCTGCTTTTGAATGAGGGCACACAAAATTCAAATTCAACAAGTGTAACAGATGTCGACACATACGTTTTAAAATAACACATTACAGTCATCACTAACTTGTAGTACCAATATATATATATATATATAAATATATATATATATATATATATATATATATATATATATATATATATATATATATATATATATATATATATATATATATATATATATATATATACAAAGAGAAATTTTTGACAGAGTTACTAAGTACCAGGGAGAAATACATTTGAAAAGACAGAAATTGAGCAATTTTCATCTAATATGCGAAAGCACCAACGACACAAAAAAAATATTGATAATAAATAATACAATTAAGGCTCCTTACAAGAAAGGAAGTACATTTTGACTTTTTTTTCTCCACACTGTTTTTAGTGTTATGTTCTTTCAAAAGTTCACGGACATAGCCATTTTCGTGCAGTAGATAAGGTATTTGATATGATAAAGTTTGCTTACCATATGTTGTTCTGAAAAAAAGGCAATCGAAAACAATAAAAAAAAACGACCTTGTCTGGCTTTAAAGCACCGCGTTTCGTTGTGATTTACACATCTCTTGCATCAGGTCGGCTGTTGCCTTCTGTGTCGAACGCCACTGCTGCCAACATATACTTTTGTGGTGGTTTCTTCGAGGTCTCGCGAGAACGTAACTTAATAAGCGTTGCGTTACGTACGCAGCGTATTGTTTCGGGCGTACGTGCGCATCTCTGGAATTGATACGTTACGTACTGCGCATGCGCATTTCTCTCCCGTGGCAATGCTGCGTACGTGGGCTCGTTACATATGCCCAACTAAATGTGTCTAATGTCTTATTGTCACCTTTGCTTTGTATCCCGTATGTGCGCTCACACTGCCATCACGAGCAAGTTGCAATGACGTATTAAATAGAAGTGGTTATGCTACCAGACATAACAACAATAATGATGTGCAAGATTTGGTTAAGTTCATGTATTATCCTACCAGGCTCTCTGAATAATGCAGAAAGTTTCCCCGGCCTATTCAAAATTACCTTCTTCGGTAATTTAGACAGACCTCGTACTTCCCTTTTCATAGAAAATACAGAAACCTAAATTGACCAACCAAGATTTAGGTAGATGTGGTTCGCTACTGTATATGTATTTGGGCACTCACTTGGTCACACAATGTGCGGCGGTGAGAACCCATTGGCTCGAGATGAGAGCTCCTCCGCAGAAGTGGCCGATTCCTTCGTATTCGGGGTTACCAAGGCTGACTTGCCAGGGCCACGAGTAAGGCGTTGCCTCTGTGCCTCCCACGACTCGATCTTCGGAGTCCCGGTTCGGCAAGTGCACTGGTGTGCCGCAGGGAACAACCGCCATATTCTTCAGTCCGCTGCCTGCGTGGGACCAGAGCACTGTAGACAGGCGCACGCCATCGCACCTTTGATTGCCATCGGCTCGGGGAAGATCCTTCTAATCAAGTAATGACGCCGCTAATATACATCAGCAAAAATGCAGCACAACGTTATGAAATCATCTCTTCTTGCAGGAAGTATTTTGTTAATATTCAGGCATACACTGTGCTTAGGGTGGGACACCAGAATATATGAAGACAACACAAAAACCGAATAACAACTTCGTTGGTCTGCAGCTACCCTGGCGTCCCATCCCTACAGTAGTTTTAGTTTGAATAATGTGTCATACATGAACTAGCCCCAACACACAAGCTTCTCAATTCTAGTCTTTCGCACCATCACGGGACCACTTCCTTGTTAAAAGTTGAATGGGGAAAATAACTTTTTGATGCAACTTTAAATTTGGAAACAACCAATAATATTCCTAGCAGGTATATGCAAAACAGTGCAGAAAAATAAGAGGTACCGAGGAATAGATATACCCAACACGACCACTGATTCAACTCAAAAAAGTTTTTTGAGGTCATGAAAATATTGCCGTTTTGTTAGCGCCCCGTTACACTGTCAGTAATTCTCAGCCCAACCTACGCCTGCAGTGTTTGAGAAGCTTCAGGACTGTAGTATATAGCTTTGGTAAATTACACCCATTTCATGCACATAACAGATTATTCTCGAACGTACGCGGCCGCTAGCGATAACACTATAGCGTGGCGGCACTTGTACACATGTTATCAGATATTCTATATTCGCCGCTATGAGTGCCCGTGTGTTGCTGTCATGTGACCTCCATTTTCCTGGCCACAAGTTCTGCCTGTTATGATCGGCCTGCCTGGCTTGACACCACTTTGTTGCATGAGACATTGTGGCTGAGCCTACCTTGATTTCTTCCGAGTAAGCGCTCCCAGAAATGCAGCAAGAGCGGCGACAACGGAGAAATCGTTCTTCTAGTTATCCCAGGTGATCGGCGCTCCTCGTAAAACTCTTTGGACACGCCTGACCAACTGACAGATGAGGAAGAGTTGTTGGCCGTCAAGGCAGCTTGCTTCGTGGTCAAGGTGCCCCGGGCAAAGAGCCAAACGCCTGAAGTCCGTCTGCGGAGGCATTTCCCACGTTCTTCGTGGCGCCTTGATGCTGCTGTTTTTACAATTTATGGTCTGCCTGACGCCGCATAGCCATCACTGCAACAGACTGCGAAATTGACTTCCACGTAAGACTGAGCGTCTTCGTGCTGTGCTGTGTCGTACGCGGTGTGCAGTGCTTTCTCCCTCGCCATGGGCTGAACTCGACGTGCTTCTTCCCCTTTTGTGGGTTAGGAAGGAAGCGGTATTTCAGCTTCCCCTTTTGGGGGCGAAGGTGAATATGGCAATTTTCATTGGACTGCTCTGACCTCCTTGTTTTCCTGCACGAATTCCTGGGAAGGACAGGACATAAAATGCGAGCGCCGAGGCACTCCTGACAAGCTCTCACAAGCTCCCAGAAGCTCCCATCATGCTTCCGTCGAGAGCTTCCATGATGCTACCAATGTACTATCATGCTACCTTGAACCTGTATATAATGTAAATAAACGCTCCTGTTAACCGCACCGACTTTCTCCTCGACATCTCACCCGGACTTTGCTTGGCTCCGGTCTTATGGGCAGGCCTCCGACGACATCAACTGGTGGCAGTGGTGGGATGACAAAATTGAGGAATGTTGGGAAGAAGTAAAAAAAACAGATAAAAGATGAGCAAAGAAAGCGAAGATGGGCTAAGGAAGACAGGATAAACGAGCAAAGACGATTGGCTTTAGAATTCATTAGGCTTCAAGTAACCCAGTTTACGGTTCAGTGTCCTTCGATATCAAACTGAAAGACAGTCCTGTCAAGTCCATAGCTACAGTGAACCGCTTAGAAAGGGAGACATATAAGCTGTGTAAGGCTAAGTCGGTCGTATGCCACCGTTGCAATGAGCCAGGCCACATAGCGATCGGCTGCCATAAGCCTAAGAGTACGCTCTTTTTGGTGGACAGCAGCTACAGTACTCAGGAGCAATGAAACCGCAAGTTCAGGAGTTTATTATGGAAAAAGCGTTGTGTGGCGTACCACGGGTGTCAGTCGCAACGTTTGATAGTGTAGATCCGTACTCGTGGGAGAATGAGGTTACCACAGGGGAACGTGTGTGCGCGTGGCAAATAGTTGGAAATAAAAGTATGTGTTTGCGATTAGCCCTTGTTGAGAAAGAGGGACCGCTCCGACTGCTCGCCACGGAAATGGTGGTGTCCCAAAACCTCCCCGAGTGTTATCCCTCTCAGAATGGCGTGGATATGATTTCGAAAGGCCTTTGTTAAGGTAACAAATTGGCAACAGCTGTGACGCGTCTGATGGCTTGTGATTCTGCTCATGAGACTCCGGAAGCAGGAAGCGCTAATAAAGTAGCCTGTAAACCTCCAGTTGATCAGGCACTTAGCTTATCAGGAGAGGTAGATGCGCTTAAGATAGAGCGAGGTGATGTCTATCATCAAAGAGAGACATCTGATTGCGAGCCGCCTGGTTTAGCAAGTGTCGATTGTCACATTCTTTCAAAAGTGGAGACAGCTAGAAATAACAGCGAGGATAAACCAGTTCAGCCGCCTAGAGTTTTGAGTAGGGTACTTCCCCGTATTACCGCTGAGCTGGTGAACGTTTCCTGCCGCCGCGAAAGAAAAAGGTGCCGGCGAAAACGTAAAGGGAACACGAAGGGTGAAAGTTGCTTCGAGCTGGGGCCAGAAATCCCGAAAAAGCGTGCTGGAAGTCAATTGTTGAGGCTCCGGCAGAAAGCGAGATTTGGCATGAAGAGTGTCAGGAAGGCGAAAGAACTGAGACGCCGAAGTGTTCGCCTGGTTTCATCATATTTGGTGAAGGCTAAACGGTGGAGCGAAGCGAGGTGGTGCGTACGCGGCTGTAACGTCAATGGTCCTTCCTCATGTTTGCAAGAGGGTGACCGCGGTTCTGGGAGGCCCACAACGAGGAAGCTTGAGCGTGCTGGTGCCTTGTCTGAGTTTGGAGGCGGCGAAACAAAGGTTACCGCCACTGAGTGCTTTGGACAGGTTGGCTTTTTGTCCCTTTGTCGTGATCTGGCCTATCGACAAGTGCCGTATACGCGTCTCCCCCGAGCACGTCTGAAAGGGTGCCACATTAATTTACGCAGTGTAACGAAGGATACCAAGAATTTGTCTTGTATCCAGTTTTACGATTGTTTTGTTCAGCTGTCTAATGTTTCCATGTCTACCAATGAGCAAGGACTATATCGATTTTTGAAAGTTTCATGTTCCCCTCATCATAACTGCACGCATTGAGATATTTGTCGAACGACTTGTTTGCTTATATCTAGCAAACCCTAGCACCCGAGTAGAAGGCTTAGCGCTGATTTCAACAGAAAAGTAGGCTCAAGGTAAAAACCTCTGTTTAACGCTTATGTCTTGCAGTGTAGTGTAGGTTTTGCTTTTCTGTTTGTTTTATGCACAAGTGTATTTTAGCAGAGAAATAAGCTGAAAAAGTAGTGCTCGGTAAAAATTCTGGACTTTAAATGAAGTTTGTTCTTTCATTCATTCATTATTTATTCATTCATTCATTTTTTAAACTTTCTGTAATTTGCAGTATACGTGTTAGTATGCGCATCAGTGTAGCACAGGTTTTTGCTTTTGTTGATTTCATGTTATCCCCATAATGTTTCGGACAGTGCAGAGATACCAAGAATTTTTCTTGTATCCATTTTCTAATCGTCTTGCAGTTAATGTTTGTGTGCCTGCAGATAAGCAAGGAATGTGTCAATTTTCGTAACTTTTACTTTCTTGTTCATCATAGCTGCAGACATTAGGATACTTGTTAAACTGCGTGTTTGCTTACATATATAGCTAAACCTAACACCTGGGTAGAGGATTTTGAACAAGTTGATTTTAACAGAGAAGTAGGCTGATGGTAATCGGCTGTGAATTTACCTTGTGTAATCTACTGCATACTTGTTGATATGCCCGTCAATGTAGAGTAGGTTTTTTTCTCTATTTTTTGCGCAGGTTGAGTTAACAGAAAAGGCTGACTAAAAGCTTCGGCATAAACCTTCTGTTTTTGCAGTATACTTGCTGCTATGCGCATTGGGGTAGAGTAGGTTTTCATGTTTGTTTTATGTTATACGCGCGAATTTGATTTTGAGTTTTACTTATGCAGTGAGAAGTGTCGTTCATTAACTACCTCCTTTTGTTTTGTTTCGCTCGTAGCACCTGCGTGCCTTAAACGCTGTGAATCCATCTGGAAAATAACACAAAACGTTAAACTGTTGATTTCCTTCGCACATAGTAGGTCTGAGTTTGTTATGGCTCCGTTTTATGATTCTTGAATTTCCCGAGGGATCACACCAATTGCAAATTTCTAGGGATTACCAGAACTGTAACCTAGCATTTTTCGAAGTCAGTTGAGTGCTCTCTGTTTGTTGTGCTACGGGTCTTGCGTGGTTCGTTTTTGGCGTTTGCTAGCCATGGCTCAGGTCCAGAGATTGGTACAGCCTGCGTCAACGTCTACAAGGGAGCAGATCTACGGCCTCTGCGGAGTGCTTTGGTGCTGCAACCCCTTCGAGACCTGCTGTGGCCGTGGATGGGCTGTTATGTTATAACCTGCCTGGCTTGACACCGTTTTGTCGCACGAGACATTGTGGCTGAGCCTACCCTGATTTCTTCCGAGTCAGCGCTCCTAGAGATGCACCAAGAGCGGCGACAACAGAGAAATTGTTCTTCTAGTTATCCCTCGTATGCCTGCTAACCCTTTGGACACGCCTGACCGACTGACGAATTAAGAAGAGTTGCTGGCCGTCGAGGTAGCTAGCTTTGTCGCCGAGGCACTCCTGAACTCCTGGGCAAAGGGCCCAGCGTCTGACAACCGTCTGCGAATGCATTTCCCACGTTTTCCGTGGCGCCTTGATGCTGCTGTTTTTACAAATAATGGTCTGCCTGGCGACGCATAGCCATCACTCTAA